TTGAGACCCTTAATTGCACGATACTACTTGAGGAGGCTTAATAAATTCTCAACATACCTGTCATAACAGAAGCCCGATAACCAATAATAACCATGACGTACAATCGGCATTGACTTCCATAATAATCTCAGATTACCTGGGGGCGGTCACCTGTGGAATATCTTTTCTTTTATTTTCGAGGAACTGCCACTCTTCAAAAAAAAAACAAAAAAAAAACAGACACTTTCAAGTTCCATAATAATCTCGAATTACCCGGGGCGGGCACCTGTGGATATATCTCAAGACTGCCGCCACAAAATAAAAAATACATATAAAAATATAAAAAATATAAAAAAATAAAAAGAATCAAGAGTCAAGACACTTTCACGTTCCATGATAATCTCGAATTACCTCGGAGCGGTCACCTCTGGAATACCTCAAGAATGCCGTCCCTGGGAAAAAAAAAAAAAAAAACAGGTTTCAAGACACTCTCAAGCCGGGAGTTTTCTATCTTCTTTCTTTCTTCTACTTTAATTGAAATTTTCGGCAGTTTCCCAAAAAAAAAAAAAAAAAAAAAAATCGGCAGTTCAGAAGCTCCTGATTATCGTTCCTTCTCCCCTGGTCAGAATTTTCTTGCGAGTTCCTTTTCCCCTCTCCTCGTGTCCTTCGCCATCCTCTGTCTCCTCATCCTCCACCCAATACCCCTTAATAAGTATATCCCCGCCCTTTCCCCCCTCTCCCCCCGCCCTTCTCCTCCCCCCCCCAAAATCCATCATCTGCGGACAGATGATATTCTAAAAGGACAGACAGATGCAGAGGACCACATTAGGTGCAATCGTCAACATCTCTACCCACCTAGCACCCCCTCTACCGTCTTCCGGTCAATATCGTTGTATCTAGAGTGAAACGTGGCACAACTGCAGCTATAATGACCGCGCGTAATATTCAGATGAAGATGATAGGCAGGATGAGAAAGCATAATAGGTGGGTGGAGTCGTCATCTGCTCCCCTCTTCCCCCCCTCTCTTCCAGCAAGCAGCAGTACCTGCTCCCCCTAGGAGCATCATCCGCTCTCTTCCCTCTCTTCCTCATTACCAATTCCCTCTTCCTCTCCGTCCACCTAATGTTCCGTTCTCCTCCTCCTCCTCCTCCTCCTCCTCCTCCGTCGACCCTGAAACGCATCCGGCAAGAAAACAACGCAACTGCCTTCCAACGCAAATACCCCTCCTCTTAGCGAAGGGGAAAAAAGAAAGTAAATACCCGTTGGCCGCTGGGATAGGGACCATAAGCACATCACAGACGTTTTCAAACACTGACAAGAGAGAGAGAGAGAGGAGGGGAGAGAGAAAGAGAGAGGAAGTAGTCACTTCGCCTCTTCTTCTTCCTCCTCCCTCCCCCCTCCTCCTTCTTCTTCTTAGTGATTGTACCGACTGACCAAGGGCCGATAGAGATGAAGCACAAGGAGGAGGAGGAGGAGGAGGAGGAGGAAACCGACTGGATGGAGGATGAAAATGGGGAGGTCAGATTACGATGACGATGCTGTGATGATGATGATGACACCGCGGAGGAGGCAATGATGACAACGCGGAGGCAGCACGGACGTGCCTCTCTCTCTCTCTCTCTCTCTCTCTCTCTCTCTCTCTCTCTCTCTCTCTCATGTACACATCAACACACACGTCGGAGGAGAGGAGAGACGGATAGGGAAAGACAGGGAAACACACATGGGCGGAACTGTGAAACAAGACGTAGAGATCTCCGGGAAAGAAGGTGGACATGAAGATGTGGTGCAGGGAAGAGGAGTGACAGGGAGGGATGGAAGAAGCTAACCTCTCTCACCTCTAACTTGTCACGGAGATCGCAGGTTCACTTGCCTCACAAGTGGTGTGTGGGTGTTGGACGTTAGGGTTGCGGAGTGGTGATCACGCGGTTTCTTGAGCGGGCGCTCGGAGTTCGCTACAGGCAGAAAACCCACGTCACCAGACCGTAGTAGGAGAACCAGGCCCCTCCCTCAGGCTGTGCGAACTGCAATGGGCAAAGCGGTGGTCAGGACAAGCCCTGCAGCCTGGGCCAGACGGGTCAACCACCAAACGACCGCACAGAAGGGGGAAATCCTGCCTGCTGTGCGGTTTTCGAATAAGAAAGGAGAGCCCGGAGACTGGAGGACGCGAGTACGCAGCCCGGAATCACGTGCAGGGCCTTGTAGCCGGACAGGATTTGAAGACGTCCGCGAACAGAGGGTGAGTACGCCGGGGAAGTTCAGGGGAAAAGTTCCGGGGGATTCTTGGGCACCACCTCTGCTAGGACACTTCCATGTTAGCGTAGTGCTTGTGGCCGTAACCAGTCTTTAGGAGGGTGGGAGTTTGGGGTGGAGTCGCAGAGAGCCCCGGTGGAGGGGTGACTAGTGGGACTGCTTAGCGGCTCGAAAAGAGTAGATGACCTTTTTTTTGGGGGGGGGTACTCCTCTTGTCCAGCAAGATTGGGGGATTGAAAACTGGGGAGCACATAACAATAATAATCCACCCATAATATAACCCTGATAGGTACACATGCTGGTCTAGAGTTTGCTTAGGGAAGACACTGCCCGCGGTGGCTCCGAGGAAACATTCGGTTCCAGACTAGTTCGGAGTGGCACACAGGGTAGCCTAGAGTTGGCTTAGGTACTCACACTGCCTATGATGGCTCCCTGGAAACATTTGGTTTCAGACTAGCCTGGACCATATAATCCAACCACAACATAATCCCGATAGGTACTTCGGCTGGTCTAGAGTTGGCATAGGTAAGACACTGCCTAGGGTGGCTCCAAGGAAACATTCGGTTCCGGACTAGCCTGGAGTGGCACACAGGGTGGTCTAGAGTTGGCTTATGTACGACACTGCCTATGGCGGCTTTGCGGAAACATTCAGTTCCGACTGAGGGTGCAAGGGAGGATGGGTCGGAGGTCTTCCCTGGCAAGAATCCGCCTTGCCACGAACTGGCGCATAGGTTGGGCTAAGGAAGCAGAACGATGAGGTAGGTAGGGGTTGGGTCTGTGAGCACCCATTAAGAAAAAAAAAAATGGTATCACTGACTCGAGGTCGATCGCTTTATAATGCTTCAATATAAAATGTTCCCAATAAAACATTATTCACATGTACAAAGCGATGTACATACAAATACATCATACCATTGCATTTTGACCACACAAAAAAGTTTGATACGTTTACCTACTGGACTAGCTCCTGTTGCACACTAAGTAAAAGAGTTGTGTCCTGCAGACGTCCGGCCCGCGGCCTAGCAGGCCCTGTCTGCTCTCGCCGTTCACCACGTTGGCCGCCCGTCCTCACATCACACTCGTGTCTAGCCTGATGAGATGGGATACTGAGCCTCCACCACCTAAACACGTGTCCAACCCCTGATGAGGACAACCTTAATTTTTTTTCCCTTTTACCAATGCTTTCTACCCACGGTCGTGCACGTGACACGACCACTTTTTTTTTGTCGTATAGGCCCTTGATTGCGCGGCTGTCCATATGTTAGATAGGATAGGATAAAATCAAGGTTCCGACGGACGCATCTCGCTGCGGCATCGCTATGTACGGGAAGTGAATTGTCACAACACCGCTCCTTTTCAAAATTCCTAGCGTTGTGGAGCCCGACTTAGGCTCAAAAAACGTTGGTCTGTTGGACATAGGGTCGGTCCGAATCAACTTTAGCAGGTACTCCAATCTCATCAAGTCAATAAACTTTAACAAAATTTTTTGTCAACAGTCGGACAGTGTCTGGCATTGAAAAACACCGGGCAGATACCCCTATCAGGGTTTTGCCCCGACAACGGTATTCCTCTATGATAGGGTTGAGTGTACCATATGAGACCCAGCGAGTTGGAGGAACTACGAAAGAAAATTGACGAGATGACTGACAAAGGGTGGATTAAACCTAACGACCACCTTTTTTTTTTGTCCCAAAAAAAAAAAGGTAAACTCTGAATGTGCATTGATTGTCGCGGTCTAAACCGCATCACAAGGAAGAATGCGTATCCGTTGTCACTCATCGATGATTAGTTGAACGTTGCAGGTGGGTGCAAGGTCTTCTCCAAGATCAATCTCAAGTCTGGTTACCAACTTACCACCAGATTGAGATCAATCCTGCGGATCAGCATAAGACTACATTCAAGACTCTCGATGGGTCATATGAATTCACCTTTATACCCTTCGATCTCACAAATCCCTCGACCACCTTTCAAAGTCTCATGGGCAAACTACTTTAAGAACAACTCGGTCAATTTGTTGTCGTCTATCTTAATGACATTTGATCTTTAGCAAATCGATAGAGGAGCACTTGAAATACCTTGAAGAGGTGTTCAACATTCTAAAAAAAATGCAGTTCCATCTCAACTTGGAGAAATCTGAGTTTGGAAGGGGCAATGTCATCTATCTTGAACATTGGTTCTCTGTTGCAGGTCTTAAGTCTGAGGCAACCAAGGTTGAAGTCGTACGCAATTGGCCTCAATTGTTGAATATATGGCAACTGTGTTCTTTTCTTGGTCTTGCATCATACTATCGGAAGCTTGGACCCTGATTTTCTATCATTGCTCGCCCATTGTTCAAACTAACAAGCAAGAAAGTATCTTACACATGGAATGAAGCATGTGAGACTGCCTTTGAAGCCTTAAAAGAGGTTTTAGTAAGTCATATTGTGTTCCGCAAACTCACATTCTTAGTTACTACGGATGCGAGTCAATATGGGTTTGGCGTTGTGCTGCAACAAGATGATGATGATGGCTTGTTTCCACTGAAATACTACCACAAATGCACGCCCAACGAAAAGGTAGTTACTTCTACATACATGCGCAAGCTTTATGCTTTGCGTATGATATTCGATGACTGAAAACACTATCTTTTGGGAAGTCACTTCAAAGTATTATCATATCACTAGACTTTGAAGTGGATCAAGGAGCAAACTACCTTGTCCATTACATTGGTCCACTAGTTGCATGAGATTGATATTTTTCAGTTTGAATTGAATCACAAAACTGAATGTTATAATCGAGTTGTTGATGCATTGTCTCGCCACCCCGAGTGCATGACTTGTCTTATGAACTCTTATAACCCTTGGAAAAAATTGAAGGAGAAACTTGTGGAGCAAACTGTCAAGGATCGAGATCTCAGCCCAATCCTTGAGCAGTTCCGGGATGACCCAAGTAGCCAGCTTGATTTTCACGAATACGAAAGTTTAGTTTTCTGACGCTATAGAAATAATGATTGTTTGTGTGTACCCAACCATAAGTCTCTCTGCACACAGTTCTTGGATTGGACTCACGATCAGAGTGGACACTTCGACATTGCAAAAACCCACGGAAACCTGCAGCAACAGTTTGACAGGCCAAATATAAAAGAATCTACTGAGAAGTTTGTGGTTGAGTGTCAAGTCTGTCAACGAATCAAACCATAAAGGCAAAAAATTATGAGGCTTCTCAAACCTCTTTCCATTTCCGATGGTCCCGGAGAGTCCGTCTCTATCGACTTCACGGATATGGGAAAGACAAGTAAGAATGAATATTCGCAAGTGATGGTGATTTTTGACCGTTTTTTCAAATTCATAAATCTGATTTCATTGTCATCTGATGCCCCAATAGATCCATGAGGTTCGCCATAAGTATATTCTTCAGTACAGGACCCCGAAAACCCTTGTGAGTGATTGCGACCCGCGCTTCATAATTACTGATCAGAATGACTTCACGTTCCAACTCCCTGGTCTCCAACTAAAGATGACATCTAGTCGACATCCCAAACCAACAGTTTGGCTGAGGAGATTAATCACACTGTATTTCAACTTCTTAGTGCGTTGATTATCCTGGATCGGGAACGTGGGATGAAGAGCAGTACACGGTCAAGGGCTTGTATAACAACTTCATTCATTCCTCCACCAGTATGACACCGAACAGGCTGCATTACGAATGGAAGATCTAAAACCTTCTCCGAGTCTCCTACTTATTCCCTGAACAGTCGTTCGGTTCGACACCTGGTAGACCTCATTTCAACACTAAGTATGATCGCTTGCTCAAAGTTGTCATTGCAGCAATGACCAGAGCGACGACACGCCATGATCCATCATGCAAATAAGAAGCGCAAACCATCAACAATCGAAGTGAGAAGTCATGTTTGGGTCAAGATGTTTGAATTTTCAAAAAAAGAGGGGGTATCACACAAACTTCTCCCTCTCTATCATGGCCCATGAGAAGTTCTGGATGTGATTGGTGGGGATAAGTTTGGTCCTTCATACGTAATTGTCGTGCCTCCTCATCTGCACACATACCCAGTCTTTCACGCATCCAAGTCGTTTCCATATCATGATGCTAAATCCTTCAAATATCGTGAGAACATAATCCCTCATGCAATCAAAGGCAGTCACAAGATAGATAGAATTAAAAGTCATATTGGTAAGGGACGTAACAAACAGTACCAAGTTTATTTCATGTTAAAGCATACGAACGACACATAGCTTCCGGTATGTTCCAAAAATCTATGCAAAACTCACTCTACTGAGTATTCACGAAATCTCTTCGCTTGTTTCCTTATGATGCGTTTGTCAGAGACTCAGAATGAGTTATTCGCTCAAAGGGACCTTACTCTTGAAGGGGGGTTAGTGTAAGGACCTGCTAAACACGGACTGAGACACACAACTGATTTTTGAGTTTTGTCAATGGAATGTATACCTTGCTGAGATTTTTGCTTGTCGCTGAGTTTTCTAAGTCTGTGTGTGTGTGTATGCTTGTTGGTCTGTGCGCCTGTCTGAGTACTTGTCGACTTTAGTGTGTGTGTGACCCGCAAGCGCACTTGTTCGTTTGGGAGGCCCGAAGGGCCGGTACTTACCTGTGGCCGTGACTTTGAGGGTTGCAGCGGGGAAAACACTCAAGTGGCGGGAGTAGGCCCGCGTCACTTCGAGCAGCGGAAAAACCCT